GACCGGATTGAAAACCGGATGAAGACCGGATAAGAGCGACCAACACCCAAAACTTAACCAACTCCTCACCCTTTCAAGCCTCAGGCCACTCAAATCCCCACAAGCTCAACCTAAAATCAAAACCGAATTGGGACCGGACCGGATCAAGACCGGACTGTATCCAATTCAATCTTTGGTTCTTGATCAATTGTAAAGTTTACGGAGGGCATTTTCATAATTTTTAGGCGATTTTTTCGAAAAGCCATTTTACTTGGATTTTGAAGGATACAAATCACGGATTCGTCCCAAGGAATCTAGCAAAAATGGCCCGTGAAAATTTTTTTCTCAAATCTAGCAAGAATAATCTCATACCGAATCTATGATATGTAGCCTTCAAAATCCAAGAAAAATTGTTCTTCGAAAAAATAGCTTAAAATTTATGAAAATCCCCTGCGGAAATTTTCAACCCAAATCGGTGAACAATAGACTTTCTCATCGTTGGAGAATAGCCCCAGGCCGAATCTGAGTCTGTATCCTTCAAAATCCAAAAAAAATGGCCTTTCAAAAAATCTCCCGAAATATGTGATGATATCCTTTTGGAATCTGGCAAAAATGGCTCCGAAAAAAATCTGTCCAAATCGGTACTTATTACACTTAATCAACTATGAATAATTGCCTTAGGCCGAATCCTTGATCTGTATGATTCAAAATCCAAGTAAAATGGCTTTTCGAAAAAATCACCAAAAAAATACGAAAATGCCATCCGAAAACTTTACGCCCAAATCGGCGACCAATAGACTTTATCATCGGTGGAGAATAGCTCTAGGCCGAATCCGAGATTTGTATCCTTCAAAATTAAAAGAAAATGGCCTGTCGAAAAATCGCTTGAAATCTTTGAAAGTACCTCTTCAGAATCTGGCAAAAATGGCCCCGAAAAAAATCCGCCCAAATAGGTGCTTAATACACTTAATCAAATATGAAGAATAGCCTTAGGCTAAATCCGTGATTTGTAGCCTTCAAAATCCAAGTAATGACTTTTCGAAAAATCGCCAAAAATTTACAAAAATGCCATCCAAATAATTTTCCGCTCAAATCGGCGATCAATAGCCTTTATCATCGGTGGAGAATAGCCCTAGTTCGAATCCGTGATCTATATCCTTCAAAATTCAAGGAAAATGACCTTTCAAAAAACCACATGAAATCTGTGATGGTATCTGTTATTGGACAATCCAAGTACCACATTGGAAATACAAGGGAAGGAACCCTTGTATATTAGTATCCACCAAGCTCATTAGTACGAGGCATTTAGGGGAGGACACCCAAGAGTAAAACCGTGCGGGCTTGGCCCAAAGCGGACAATATTGTACTAATTGAGCAGCCTGATTATGACAAGTGGTATCAGAGTCTGATTCGGCGGATCCGGGACAGTGGACGTTAGTTCGGTGGACCCTCGTTCGGTGACCCTGGGGTTTGAGATCTGCGTCTGGTTTGGTGGATCCACGAGAGATCCACGTTTGGGCTACATCTGGTTTTGGGCCTGGTCTATAATCGTTGCCTTTACCATATTGGATTAGGTTTAGACCCACATGGAGAAGTATAAATACTTCTCATCTCCTCTGTAACCTGCAATCTCCTCGATATAGTGAAACTGGCTCTCTCTCGCCCGTGGACTAGCTAACACACATCGTGTTAGTGAACCATGTAAATCGTGTGTTTGTTTTCAATTCTCGCATTGATATTCTTACTTCTCGACTTCGGCGATGTCCCATCCGTAGCAGCGAAGTTATAACAATATCCCTTTGAAATCTTGCAAAAATAACCCCGGAAAACCGCCGCCCAAATTGGTGCTTAATACACTTAATTAAATATGAAGAATAGTCTCAGAATGAATCTGTGATCATAGCCTTCAAAATCCAAGTAAAATGGCTTTTTGAAAAAAATCGCCTTAAAATTATGAAAATGCACTCCGAAAATTTTCCTCACAAATCGGCCACCAATAGACTTTATCATCAGTGGCGAATAACCCCTGGCCGAATCCGTGATCTGTATCCTTCCAAATCTAAGGAAAATGGCATTTGGAAAAATCGCCTGAAATCTGTGATGGTACCCTTTTCGAATCTGGCAAGAACGGCCCGGCCCCGAAAAATATCCACCCAAATCGGTGATTAATACTCTAAATTAACTCTAAAGAATAGCCTCGCGTTGAATCCGTGATCTTTAGCCTTCAATATTCAAGAAAAATGGCTTTGCGAAAAAAATGCCTAAAATTTATGAAAATGCCCTCACAAAACTTTCCGCCCAAATCGGTGACGAATAGGCTTTATCATAGATGGAGAATTGTCCCAGGCGAATCCGTGATCTGTATCCTTCAAAATCCAAGAAAAATGGTTTTTCAAAAAAGTGCCCGAAATCTGTGATGGGTACCATATGGAATCTGACAAAAATGTCCCAAGAAAAATGCTTCCAATTCTGTGCTTATTACATGTAATAATTTGTGAAGAATAGCCTCAGACCGAATCCGTGATCTATGTACTTCAAAATCCAAGTAAAATGACTTTTCGAGAAAAATTGCCTAAAAATTATGAAAATCCTCTCTTAAATTTTTCTGCCCAAATTGGTGACTAGTAGACTTATCATCGGTAGAGAATAGCCTTAGGACAAATGAGTGATCTGTATTCTTCAAAATCCAATGAAAACGGCCTTTCGAAAAATCGCCAAAAATCTGTTATCGTACCCCTTTCGAATCTGACAAAAATGGCCCCGAAAAAATCCGCCCAAATCAGTGCTTAATCAACTATGAGAAATTGCCTTAGGGAGAATCTGTGATCTGTAGCCTTCAAAATCCAAGTAAAATGGTTATCGAAAAAATCGCTTGAAAATTACGAAAATGTTCTCTGAAAATTATTCGCCCAAATTTGTGACCAATAAACTTTATCATTGGTGGAGAATAGCCTCAGGCCGAATCCGTGATCTGTATCCTTCAAAATCCAAGTAAAATGATCTTTCGAAAAATCTCCTGAAATCTGTGATGGTACCTAGGGGTGGGCAATGGCAGGGTTGGGTGGGTTTTGGTCTCAAATTGACCCACCCGCTTACTAGCAAGTTGGAATAATTGTGACCCCCAATCCACCCACAAACTTCTGCGGGTTTGGTTGAGTGGGTGGCGGATGGGTGCGGTTGGGTCGCGGGTCAACCCACAAAAGCAATTATCCAACTAGCCATTAAGAAAGTTGACTAATATCTATAATAAGTTCATAGAAAATTAGTAAGACCGTATCAATAATTTGTGAATTTGATATAATTAATAATTTATAGTTTACATCCCAATAGTTAATAGATATTAACAATAATTTGCACAGTGATATCCAATATCTAATGGATATTGCACAACACAATAATCACAATAGTAGTCAAAACTATTCTTTATTCTCCACCTTTTGAAGTATGTGGTCAGACTATAGTGCAGTTCGAAAATATGATGAATATTCGATACTATAAGAAACAATATTTTTTCATGTAAAAATAGGATGCGGGTCATACGGGTGACCTGCAATCCACCCACCACCCACCCACATAAGTGCGGATGGGAGATTTATCAATACGTAATCCACCCACATCAATCATCCACAACGTGCGAAACAGATTATTTTCGGGTGGATCGATATTAATCTGCGGATTAACCACCCACGTGCTCGCCCCTAATGGTACCCCTTTCGAATCTGGCAAAAATGGTCCCAGAAAAAATCTGCCAAAATCAGTGCTTCATACTTAATCAACTGTGAAGAATAACCTCAGGGCAAATTCGTGATACGTACTCTTCAAATTCAAAAGATTAACCACCCACGTGCTCGCCCCTAATGGCACCCCTTTCGAATCTGGCAAAAATGGTCCCAGAAAAAGTCTGCCAAAATCGGTGCTTAATACTTAATCAACTGTGAAGAATAGCCTCAGGCCGAATTTGTGATCTGTACTCTTCAAATTCCAAATAAAAGGGCTTTTCAAGAAAATAAGGTTTCGAGTAGTGTTATTAAAACCGAGCCGAGCCGTTCGGCCCAACGGATAAACCGTTACCCGGTCATAAAACTGGCTCGGAACATTCTAAAAGTCGCTCCGGTTTTATGTAGCGATTGGCGAGCGGCCGAGGCGGTTAACTGCTCGAGCCGATAGAGCCGCTCGTCCAGTTTTTGTCATTCAACCGTTAAATTTAATTAAAAAAATTGCGAAAATTGAAATAAACCAAAAATGTCGGGCTCTCAAACTGAATCCTTATTTCCATTTCACAATTTCGAAGGAAAGACACGAGCTCTTATTAAGAAATGTCCACTATTTATACTGATAACGTTTATTAGGTACCGGTTCTCTAACGGTATAATGCTGGTTGGACCACTAAAGTGCCAGTCGTTCGCATTATCGGGTCATGCTCCGGTTCGGTTCGGAAAACATTGGTTTCGAGTACGATTAATTTTCGTTTACATTTGAGACTTAAAAAATAGGTGGAAATTACATTTTTAGTACATCAAATTTTTATTTTTGACATTTTGGTACCTAGACTTTTTAAATTTTACAAACAGGTCTACTGCTAAAAAACTTATGAGGAGGTTCTTGCCTACGTTGAGAAGTTTCTAACTTACTTTGTGTAGGTTCTGACATACTTTGTGGAGGTTCTGGCCTACTTTGAGAAGGTTCTAGCATGCTTTAAGGTTCTGACATGTTTTATAGAGTTTCTGACATACTACGGTGGTCCCCTTTTCTTTTTCACATTTGATTCAAAAAGGACTATTGGTCCCCCTTCTCATTCCTCCAATTATTATTAACGGTCGGCGTGTCTTTCCTTCATTCTCTCTTCATTAATTGTGGTCAAGTCATTTAAATGAAAAAGACATCCAAAGGAAATGTTCCTATTGGCTGGAATTAGTGTTAGCACCACTCTAATAATAAAAAAAAGTGTTAGCATTCTACCCTTATCCATGACTAGTTTGGGAGAAAAAATTTACAAGGGCAAATTTATCTTCAATAATTAAGTAATCAAAATTGGCTTATTTACAAAAATAATTCTCTAGTAAAACTATTGAACATGTGATGTTCGGTTTGAGTATTATAAATTATGTACAAATATTGTTATTTTTTTCATTCCCGAGCACGAGACAAGGTAGATCCCAGCATCCACCTTCTTAGAGCTCCACCTTACCCGGAAGCACAGGGACGCTCTGTTCATTCCAAAAGAAATAGTTAGGATCAACAGCAGTCTTCACCTTCACCAGCCTCTCGAAATTCCCATCAAAATACTTATCGCCGTACACCTTCCCTTCGGCGTAGCTGTTCTTACTACCGCGCTTCACGGTGCCGATGTCCAAATCCCTGTAGTTCATATAAGCCCTCCTCGGATTCTTGGAAACGAACGGGGTCATGTAGCTGTACATCCTCCGAATATCTCCCAGATACTTCTCCTCCGCCTCCACACCAGGCTCCTTCCACCCAATCGAGTACTGAATCTTGTAAAGATTCCCTGCACGATGAGGAAACGCCGTCTCCGCCGCCGGCACCTCATCCATTGCTCCGCCGTACGGGTTGAACACGAACCCTGTTTTCCCCGACTCCATCATCTTAGCCCAAATCCCTTCCAAGCTAGCTTTCGGGATCGGAGTCACAACGTAATCCGACTTCCTCTTTCCAGATTTGATCGATTGCAGCTCCCTGCTCAGTAGCGCCGCCGTGTTATTCTCGTCGTCTAATCCCCACCATAGAACGGACTGAATCCAGCTCATTTCCAAGCAATCTTCCTTCTTCAAACCCAATTCTGGAAATTCCTTACCCAATAACGCTACCAGGCTGTCGGCATTCCCCAAATACTCTGCCAAAACGGACGCTGTGACCGTCTTCTCCCCTTTCTTCGTCTTGGAATTCCCCGGCTGCAAGAGCATCCTCATGAACAGATCTTTCGTCGTCTTCGGCGCAACGAGCTGCCATTGGTAAGCCATCTCCGTCATGTTCTGTTCCAAATCCTTCTCGACCCTGAAAACGGTAACTGTTTCGGGGACCGGGACGAGCCCAATCTTGTACGCGATGAGAACGCCGAAGCTCGCTCCGCCACCACCGCGAATCGCCCAGAAAAGATCCTCCCCCATCGAAGCCCTGTCGAGAAGTTTTCCATTCACATCGACAATTTGGGCGTCCACGACGTTGTCCGTCGACACCCCGTACTTCCTCAAGAGGTTTCCGTACCCGGCGCCGCTCACGTGCCCGCCGACTCCGACCGTAGGGCAAACCCCGGCGGGGAACCCGAGGACGTTGCTCTTCTCCGAGATTCGGTAGTAGAGTTCCCCGAGGGTGGCGCCGACCTGGACCCAGCCGGATTTGTTAGCGACGTCGATTTCGATGGAGCGGAAATTAAACATGTCGAGGATGAAGAAGGGGGAGTCTGAGACATAGGAGAGGCCCTCGTAGTCATGACCTCCGCTCCGGGTCTTGAGCAGGTAGCCGGCAGCCTTGGTACAGGTGATGGCGGACTGGATGTGGGGGATTTTGGTCGGGGTTATGATGATTGTGGGTTTGGGGGTGGAGGACGTGTTGAAGAGGGCGTTTCGGATGTAGGCTTGGAGGACCGAATTGAAGGATGGGTTTGTCGGGGAGTAAATCAGGTCGGAGATCTTGTCTTCGGGGGCGGTGTTGGTTTCCATGCAGCGGAGGAATGATTCGTAGACGGAGACATCGGCAACAGCGACGGTGGCCAGAGAATGGGAAGAGATGAGGAGGAAGAGAAAGAAAGGAACGACGGAGAGAATATTTGTTGGTGGGGCCTTCATTTTGGTTCGCGGTGGTGTTTTTGTTTGTCTTTATGCGTTTATATGCTCTGCCTCGGGGTACTAGATCAAAGAGGGCTTTATATTTGTTTTCTTGTGTATTTTTTGGAAGAAAACGATAGCAAGATATGTTAATAATAGCATGTATTTTCACCTCACACAGAAAAAGTATTGCCTGCCGTAGATTTTTTTTATAACTCGCTTGAAATTTATTACTTACCAAATAGTTGTTACCAAATTACGATTAGCTAAAAATTGAGGGACTAGAAAGATGGATGGTGGCAATAGCAAGTTAGCGTGGTTGCCTATGTTTGAGAAATCATGGTTGCTATCAAAATCTACACTTTTAATTATTTTTATTTCACTTTATTTATAAAATGATGGTGAAGATTAGATTAAATGTAATTTTGAAAATGAAAAAGATACCTTTCTGATTATTTATATTAAACCCATCCGTGCCTCTGAAGTCCAACTTCCCGGAGATTATTGTCTTTGTTTCCTTGATAGTGATTGAACGACATTCTTTCAATATCTCTTTACACCATAGATTGTAAAATAGTACCTAAAGTTAGACCGAAAAAATATGTAGTAGAGTATTTTTTGCAGAAATTATAATTTAAGTGATTCAACCATTTTATACCTTTAAAAACAGTCTACCAATTTTGACTATGCTATGATATTTTTTCGATTGAATCGTCTATACAATACGATTTTAAGCCTTCTTTCGTTGATGGGCTGTCTCCCGCTCAGCCCATGATATACATAATGTGAGTGGTACCTCGGTCACACACACCACTGGACATGTGTCCACAGGCCCATTCACCAACTCAGGCCATCATCCACTCTGACGATAAGTCAATCACAACAAGCTGAAGAAGAAGAATCACTACCAACCAACCATTCTATGCCTCAAATCTTTAAAAGAACGAAAAAAAGAGGATTTTTTTCCTCTGACTTGCAAAAAAAATTTCACAGTACCGTATTATACTAAAATTTCTCAAAATATACAAAAACAGGGGGGGTCGTGTAGTGTTAGGCAATTTAGAAAGTATATCGCTTCACACAACAACGATTTAGGTATATCTTTTCGGTCTCGAGTGATGTAATGATTTATGAAGTGGATCGCTTCAGGCAACAACAATCTATGTGGATCACTTTAGTATGGAGCTTTTTTTAATATACATTATAACTTCAAACGATAGTATTTTTGTGCTCGATTATCCAATCGACACAATTTGTTTTAATTTTGCATAAGTCTTATGAGAGGATAATTTTCTGAATGTATGCTGAAATTTGAAACCAGCTCTAAAAGTAACTAAAGGCCTCTAAAGTCTAAAATAAGGTCATTTGCTGCCTTTATAAGCCATTTTGTGATTTTGCTAAACTTTATATTACTGTAATTTCGTGATTTGCTATCCAATCTGGGCAAATTTTGTTTTATTTTGCATAGTTTTTTAAGTACTACAATTTTATTAAAGGGATTTTTTAAAAAAAGAAGGGCATATTTTTAATTTTAGGCGTTTTGAAGGTAATTTGAGATTTTTTTTTCTTCATCTTTGGGCACATCCTAAAATTTTACCCTACTAAAAGTTGAGGTTCTTGAAAAAGTTACACAAAATAAAAATAACAAAAACTTTGTAAATCGGATAATCAAGTGCAAAATTACGTTCGTTTGAACTTTGAAGCTATGACATATTTTTTTTATAAGACTGATATAGGTTTCAATTTGTTGTCATTAAGATATTACTTGAACGATTCGAACCTGGAACTTCCACTAGGCCAAACCCTTGATCGTGAAGCTCTGACATATATTAATAGCAGATCGTTCAATACTTAAACAATTCCCTTGCAAATAGATCTATATTGAATAGATCTACCAAGATCACTGCTATTTGATGCATTATGCTTCCTAATCCTAAACCTTTGAACAAAGCAACGAACCACCTCCAAGTGTATTTTTGAAATTTCTTAGTGTGTAAGTTGGTGTTATGAGAATTGATTTTAGTAAGTCCTATATTTTGGGGAAAAATCGAAAGGAAGAAGGCTAACTATCTTTTATCTTTTTCTTGTTGTAGCTCAACCCAACAATGCTCTTATATACACGATCAGCTGTGCTTCTCTTTCTGTGATTCCTCCAGTTCAACAATAATGGCATCACCGAATCTTGAGTTTGTGACCGTACGACGAGTCTGCAGCTTTCAAAACCCATCCTCCATTACTTTCTGCTTATCATTCTTCCCTCTTTTTACACTTATCCAGCCCTTAGGAAATCAGCAGGCGAAGGAATGCTCTGCTCATATCTGAAAAAATTGCCAGGATCCACCTTCGTCTTCACTTCCACCAGCCTCTCAAAATTGCCCTTAAAATACTTCATCCCCCAAACACTGGCTTCCTCGTAACTCACATTCCCGTCTCCATTCACCCCCAAATCCACGTCCCTGTAATTCAGATACGAACACCTCGGCGATTTCGATACGAACGGCGTCATAAATTCGTACATACTCCTCATCTTCTCCAGATTCTCCTGCCTTGCTTCCGTCCCTTCCTCTTTCCATGTCACAGAGTACTGAATCTTGTACAAGTTCCCTGCTCTGTGTGGGAAAGGAGTGTCCTTTTCCGAAATCTGCCCCATTCTGCCGCCGTAAGGGTTGAATGTGAGGATGGGTTTCCGGAGCTGAATCATCTTATCCCACATCGCTTCCAAACCCTCCTTGGAAATTGGCTCCTGCACGTAATCCGATTTCTTCTTCACGAATTTCTCCGGCTTCGGATGTCTATCCCGGAGAACCTCTGTCGACGTTTCAGGTGGATAATTGGACCAAAAAAGCACCGATTCAATCCAGCTCATCTCCAGACAGTCCGCCGGAGACAAACCCAGTTCAGGAAACTCATGGTCCATTAAACCCATCAGCCTCTCTGTTTTCCCCAGAAACAGAGCATTGAATTTTGCCTTTATCGTGAATTTCTCTTCATCGCCGCTGGTTATCGGAACCGGGATTAACACGACCCTGATGAACAGATCTTCGTGCAGTTTATCGGCGATGACCTGCCATTTGTAAACGACATCGGATGCTCTTTGCTCCAACGTCCTTTCGACTCTGAAAACGGTGACGGTTTCGGGGACAGGGACTAACATTATCTTCCAGGAGACGATAACCCCAAAGCTCGCGCCGCCGCCGCCGTTAATCGCCCAGAAAAGATCCTCCCCCATAGCTTCCCGATCCAAAACCCTCCCATCGGAATCGACGATGATCGCGTCAACAACATTATCCACCGACAATCCGTGTTTTCGCATCAAGTTGCCGTACCCACCTCCACTGAGAAACCCGCCGACGCCGACGGTGGGGCAAACCCCACCGGGGAACCCAAGGATCTTGCTATTCCCGGCGATCTCGTGGTAGAGCTCGCCGAGAGTTGCGCCGGAATCGACCCAGGCTGTCTCGGATTCGACATCGATGGTAACTGACCGGAGATTGAACAGATCGAGGAGGACGAAGGGGGAGGGTGAGACGTAGGAGAGGCCGTCGAAATCATGGCCGCCGCTGCGGATTCGGAGCTGCAGGCCGTGGGCTTTGCAGCAGAGGATGGTGGATTGGATGTGGGAGACGTGGGTCGCGGCGACGATGAAGAGTGGGCGCGGGGTGGAATCGGAGGCGTAAACGAGGTTGCGAATGTTGGATTGGAGAGTGGAGGTGTAGAGAGGGTCGGTGGGGAAGTAGATTGCTTGAGAGATTGGAGTGGATGAATGGTTGGTTAGGCATTGGAGGTATTTGTGTTGAGCTGGATCTGCTGCTGCGGAGGGACTTGCCATCGAAAAGGGGATAAGAAGAGAAAGAGGAAAAGGCAAAGAATCAAGTGAATGGATGGAGACATTGTCGTCATTGGCATTGTTCAAATACTACTTTTTGAAACAATTTTACCCGGTTGGAGTTCTTCTCTGTCGTTTTGTTTCCATTACTGTTTCTAGTTTTCGATTTTCGGTTTGATGATGTTCTTTACAACTGTTCTTCGGTTCTTTGTTCGAAATTTACATTTAAGAAAATGAGCATGAATCATAGATATATCTATTGCAAGGTTGTCAAACCGGTTTATACTAGTACGCTGGTTTCCTAACTGGAATGGTTCTATCGTGGTAGAACCAGTTCATGTGCCGGTTTATGCCGATTTTAACTTTTAACAAAATTATGGATACAAATCAAAATAATTTATCTTAAACAATATCTCTAGAATTTACCACTAATCTTAAATACAAGACAACACATTTCACCACTAATCTGCCCCAAATATACTTCTAGCAAAGTAATTACAATCCAACCTCTAACTACACTTCAATTTGGCACCAAATCTCGAATTGGGAAAATCCCCAATTCTGCAACCGTAATGCGGCCAAATCCTTCACCACCGCTAACATCTTGAATTCAAACTTGGATGAGGTGTGGCCGGTTAGGTGATTGGGGTATAGACGAGAAAGGACAAAGGTGGTCGTCATCAAGAACTTAAACATTCCGGTTGGACCACTGAAATTTTCGGATTTGACCGGTTTTGACCGGTATGGACCTGAGCATTATACCGGTGACATTCCAGCCGGTTTCATGATCGGCACCGGTTGAACCTGGTTCAACCGGCCGGCATGCCACTGGCATGACAACCATGATCTGTTGTCAACTTGTCGTTTTGTTTTGCAGTTTTTTTGCTGGTTCTATTTTTTCCCCCCCAGTTATCTAGAGAGCACCATCAAACCACCGATCTCTCCTTGAAAATTTTCGAGAAGAAAATTTGATATCATAGATCTTCGAAAAAGATATTAAGTGTTGGGCCCGGAGTTGAGCGGTGTTGGATCGTAGGCCCAATAAGAGTAAGCAGGCCCAGCCCAGTGAGGAACCCAAGAATAGTGGCATAGGGAAGTGGTTACGGCAGGCGGTTGGTCTATAGACAAGACAGGAGGACTAAGCATTAATTGCCTGCCGTAGGTGGTTCATGTAAAGTGAGGCGTGTCTAGGGCGTCTGACAGAGCATTTTATGCTCTAAGCTACACCTAACTAGGTATAAATACCCTCATATCGGTATTGATGGTAACTCAACTACTTCCTCTTTCTCTAAACACTAACATATATTCTCTCTCTAACTTAAGCATTGGAGAGTTTCCTGGGCGATCGCCCACAGACCCTTGTTTATCAAGGATCAGGAGTGCACCTACCATCTGGAACAGATGTTTCGCTTGTTCATCATCAAACTGCCTAGAACATTCTAGGCTCAAACAATTTGGCGCCCACCGTGGAGCGAGTGAAGTACTAAAGAAAAGATGGATGAGAGCTCCAAGACCCTCGTCAAAGGCGTAGTAGAAAGAAGCAACCTCCGCGGACAAGAGATGCAAAGAAGCGACATTCGCGGACTGAAAATGCCAACCGTGGAGGAGGAAATGGAAATGGAAGATCGCGTCAAAAGCCAAGGGCAACAATTATCAAGCATGCATGAGAGCTTAAGCCAAATCCTGGCCATGCTTAAGGAAAAAGTAAGCAAAGCGCCAGAGAGCTCAAGGAGCAGGCATCGAAAGTAAAGGAAAGGGGAGAGGATCCTGAGAGCCCTGCTCAGACAGAAGGCGTCCGAAAAAGAAGATGCGGAAGAACTCAATTTGGGCTTCCTGGAGGAACACCTCAAGCCCACATATGGAAAGATAAAAGGGCCACAACATCCTCCAGAACCCGCTGGCTAAAAGCCTATTCAGGACGCAAGTCCCACCAAACTTCTTATCGTTGGGACTACCGACGTACAACAAAAATTCCGATCCCGCCGACCACTTAAATGCCTTTATGTTGAAGATGCAGCTGATCAACGCCACAGACGTGGATCTTTGCAAGGCGTTCCCTATCACGTTTGGTGGCCACTAGCGAACTTGGTACATTCACTGTCCGAAGGGATAATCGAAAATTTCGAACAGTTCGCCACCCTGTTCTCCTCAAAATTCGCGTCTCAGGGAGAAGGAAGCTGACCTTGTTGGCACTCATCAACTGCAAACAGGGAGGAGAAGAAACATTGACGGATTTCTATGATAGGTGGAAAACCATAGCGTGTGAAGTGCAAGGAATCTCACCAAGCGTGGCAGCAGGCAACCTACGCATGTCAACGCACAGTTGTGAACTTAAAACAGCGCTCATCAAGAAGGAGCATGCCCTGAAGGAATGGCCCGATTTGGACCACCTAGTGAGAAAGGCAATCATGCTGGAAGAGGCCATGACGATAGAAGATGCCGTAAAACGTGCCAACCCCAAAGTAGAGAAGGCCTAGAAGAAAAGGGGAGGATCGCGGAAGAGAAGAGGGCGTTCTCCATAGAGGCGCAGCTACAAACCGCGGTTCTCTCACTGCGACAACAAGCGGGAAGTGTTTACCGCAAACAAAGAAGATAGAAGGGAGGGGCGAAGCGAATAAGAAGATGCGCAGCAGACGCATAGGAGGGAAGATGACCGAAAATGGAGCGACTGGCACGAAATGCCCACCCATGACACCACAGAGTGTTGCGAGTTCAGGGCCAGTTTGAAGTATTTGGTGCGCGGAGACCTGAAAAGCCATCTGGATACATGACCACATCTCCTTAAGAGAAGGCACGATAAAGAAAGGTCGCCGAGCCCAAGAAAGAGATCTCGCACGCTCAAATGCAGGAGATCAAGGTCGCCAAGAAGAGAGCAACCTCCTCAGCGCAAATGCTTCCCGCCACCACCAAGAAGATCCCCCCCGCGTCGCTAGCCTTGCCTCGATGACGATGACGTGGAAGTCATAACCATAGCAGGCGGTCGCAAGCGACTAAGAACAGAAGGAGACCGCTTAGTTCAATGTTTGAACGTTCACAAGAGTGAACAAGTAGAAATCAGTTTCGCACCCTCTGAACTGCCGCCAGAGGAAAGTGGAGAAGATCCGTTGGTCAACTATTTTTGAAAAAGAAAATTCAAAGTCACAAGGGCGTTAGTGGATAACGGAAGTTCAGCAGACATAATATTCTACTCCACCCTCAAAAGCATGAAGAAGAGTATGCAAGATCTCAAGCTGTCAGCTACCAGCATGGTAGTATTCTTAGGATCAAAGATTCGGGTGCTAGGTTTGATAACCTTGCAAGTGACAATTGGAGAAGCGGGCGTAGCAAAAATCCGCCTCATTGATTTTCATGTGGCGGATTGTCCATCAGCATACAATGCTATCCTGGGGCGTGGTTTCCTATCAAAATTCTCTACGGTCCCATCAACATGCCATCAAATGCTCAAGTTCCCTGCAGGGGGAAAGGTGGGCCTCGTTAGGGGAAACACCGAACAGGCGAAGGAGTGTTACCAGGCGACGATTGAAAGCTTGGAGGTGGACTTAGTGGACACACGAGGAGGTCACCCTCGTCTAGAGGCGGTCAAAGAGGATGTTGCAGTAATCCTCGATGATGAAGAACCAGAAAAGAAGGTAAGGATCTCGTCCCATCTCTTAGAAGAAAAAGCGCGAGAGCTCTTGACGCTCCTCAAAGATTACAAAGATTGTTCGAATGGACCTCTGAGGACATGCCGGGAGTTTCAAGAGAGCTTGCCGAGTATCACCTATCGGTGAAAAGCCAATCAAAGGCAATTCAGCATAGAAGGATGAATGCTTCCCTCGAAAAGCAAATGGCACTGGAAGAAGAGGTAAGGCAGTTTCTCAAAGCAGGTTTCATAAGGGAGGTCAAGTACCCAACATGGCTATCAAATCTGGTCTTCGTCCGCAAGGCGTCCGGATTATGGTGAATGTGCATAGATTTCACAAATCTCAATGCGGCCTGCCCCAAGGATGCATACCCTCAACCAAGAATAGACCAACTCATCGATGAAACCTCCAACCATGAGAGTCTAAGCTTCCTAGACATGTTCTCCAGATACCATTAGATCCAGTTGTCCGAGGAAGAACAAGAGAAAATCGCCTTCATGACCCACAGGGAAATTTTCTGTTACATGGTTATGCCTTCGTGGAAGAACAAGAGAAATTGTCCGAGGAAGCATATGTGGATGATGTCCCTTGTCAAAATAAAAAAGAGGAGGATCATCTGAAAGACTTGAAGGAAACGTTCCAGAGCCTGAGAAGGGAACGCCTTCGATTGAACCCGCTCAAATGCTTGTTTGGTGCAAAGGAATGTAAGTTCCTAGGATTCATGATCACCGACAGGGGGATAGAAGCAAACCCGAAGAAGATAGAAGCAATAATCAGCCTAAAACTGTCGAAGACCATCAAGGAAATCCAGGCGTTCAATGGTAAGATGGCCGCCCTGAGCCGCTTCATCCCAAAGGCAGCATACAAATGCTCCCCCTTCTTCCGGATGCTGAAAAAGTCAGCATCCCGTTCGCAATGGAGTATCGAATACGACAAGGCTTTCTTCCAGCTGACTGAACAGCTAGCTTATCCTCCAGTTCTGAGCGCCCCACATCGAGGTGAGCATTTGTATCTCTACTTTGCAATCTCGAACCAAGCGGTCAGCTCAGTCCTGGTACGAAGAGACAGGGATGGCTCAGACCATCCCGTCTATTACGTAAGCAAGGCGCTCCTCCCTGCCGAGAAACGCTACATGCCCATTGAGAAGGCGGTCCTTGCCATTATTTCGGCCGCAAGAAAGCTTCGACCGTATTTTCAAGAACATCAAGTGATTGTTCTCTCAAACCTCTCGTTGAGGAAGTTCCTGAAGGGAATGTACGTGTCTAGAAGGATGACTAAGTGGGTGGTCGAGCTTAGCGAGCACGACATTGCATACGCGCCACGTCCCTCAATCAAGGGCCAGGTGCTAGCAGACTTCGTTGTTGAAGGTTTCATTCTGGAGAACGCGGAGGATAATGGAGAAACGGAAGTGTGGCGTCTTTTCATTGATGGAGTAGCAGGAAAAGGAGGAGCGGGGGGTAGGAATTGCCATCGAACGCCGAAGGGAGTAGTGCAAAAAATCTCTCACAGATTCCGTGAACTAAAGACCAACAACGT